GCATCACTTTAATTTGCCTATTTCGGGTAAAAAACTAATATTTTGTGTTCCGTTGATACGGACGAATCCGTGGCTAGCTCCACGATGAATCACAGTCGGTAGTTTGCATTGGTCCCACGCCCCCGGCTAGGACTAGCCCATCATCGCTCGTAGCATATGGATGTTGGCCGAGAGGCATTTTTTTCTCGGCGTTTTATCCACGTTTCTATACCAGGCCGCACTTCTGTGCTCTGTTTTCGGAAGTCACTTTTAATTTAGAAATGGTTACTATAGGGAGGGTCGGCAAGGGGTATCTCCGTAAGCTGTAATCAATTGTATTTTATTTTCGTAATAATGTAATTTAAATAAATTAAAAAAACGTAAATTCGTAGACATTGGCAATGTGTAAAATGTAATAGGCTATTTTATTTGTCCGTAATTTGTACAAAGATATTATTTTTGTAAGCGTATAAAGTATTATTATCCAAATTAAACACAAATTATCAAAAATATCATAAAAATGTAAAATGTAATTAGGAATTTGCTTTATGTGTAAAATGTAAAACCCTACTTTTTACTGTAAATGGAATTTTCATGTTATTTCCTGTAAAAACGTAAAATGCCGTTTTTATTTCCTGTAATCTGTACCAGCTAACCCCCTTGCCCCCTCTATAAGTGACATGACGTCAGATGGTACGTACCCTCATATTGTAATTTGAAGACATAGACGCGCAGTAAGCACCAGCATCCCGTATCGCCAAGCCGCATCCTTCATGCGGTATCGGCAGTTCGATGTCCTCCGCTAGATAATCACCACATTCACATACAGGTCCCACCACGCTGTAACGACGTGTCCCTGACGTCTGGATAATTATCATATAAAAGGAAATTTCAAAGACTGGGGTTCTCAAGTACTCCTCGGTACAGGATTTTTTCAGTGTGAATACATCTTTGTAATGGAAGCATTATTGATGACGTCATTACCGCATTACATTGTGGGTAACCTATCAATTACCAATCCCACAGTATATTTTATGATTTGCTTATTGGCCAAGTTTCAGAATACGCATGCTCTGTCCCATTCGCCAGGCGTCGGGGAGTAATGCTGGAATTCATATAATTCGCATATCTAGTGTAAGTTAACGGTTTCACCATGGGTTAAATGACCATATTAACATGAATTAATCATTGCATTCGTTTTAATCATTTTAATTTAATCTCTTCCAGGATCACTATTTTCAACTTTTATCAATTTATGCACTACCAAATAATTTACATATTCATTAGATGAAACTAAGTAATATACCATACCGTACCTTGACAGGTTCTATCAGTTGTATGTGGTGGTAAGCGCCGTACAGACACGGTCTCATTACTTCAGTCATCGAACCATCGATGACTAGAAAACTAAAACACAAAAAACGGCTAAATAAATAAACAAATATATGGCTAAATAACTAACTAAATAAATAAATATATGACTAAATTAATTACCAAATGACTAAATAAATTACCAAATG